ATTTTCCTCCCCCAGAATAGAAATCACAATGACAACTGCAAAAATCCATTAATTAAAAGCTCATAACTAAATTGTAATTGAAGTTAGAAAAAAAAAGTTATCTCAAATTAAAGAGCTAATTTTTCTGCAACTATTGATATTAAATTCTAAGAGTTTAACTTAATTCTTGACATGAAAAACTGAGTTTATTACGTGAAAATTCACCTATATCCATTGTCTGAGTGTACAAGTTTGAAAACGAAGTGGACACCAAACGACGCTAGCTAAGCATTTCGCGTAAAACCAAATAATCCCAAATTGATTGCAATAAACTAATAATAACCAAATAAATTAATAAATCCAAACCTGTTGTATAGCTAAAATTTTGAATATTGACACAATAAAATTTTGATTTCTGTGATTAATTTAATTACATTAAATTTGCTACACAACTTTAGTTGTCTCTGCTACTCCTATGCTCTAACACATTCATAAATAATTAGAGAAGATTAATGTGTAGCTAGCTTAGACAAATCATCGAGTGAATGTCAGTTCGGGGTTTACTTCGCTGTTATTCGTCGGTTCTTGTATTAGGCATAAATTTCAACAGTTAGAAAGGAAAGGTTCGGTGTTACTTTCACAGGTAGTTTGCAGTTATTGGTTTTTATCAGTATGACAAAAGCAATCATGACGTGAACGAATCCAATTTAAAATTTAGAGGAGTCGGTCATCTGAACACATTGAGGGAGGGGAAAATTACAGTAATATTTTTTTAATTTACGAAGCCTGCAGCTAAAATGGTAGTGGGGAAAATACGGGAGGATATAATACTCTATCGATTTCTAGAGCAATCTTGAGCAGGCAGATTGTAGTAAATATGTTTCGTGCCTGAAGAAGAAGGACTTATGCCAGTTCGCTCTTGAAATATGAATTTCGAAATATGAATGTGTTGTAAAAGCATGATCCTAGCACACCCAATACCTATAAATTGAATTTATGAGAATATAATTTTTTTAAATATTTTAACACAATTATATGGTAAAACCATAATTAATTACATTTGACAAAAAATTAGCGAAGCAACAGCCTTGTGTTTAGCCTAGATTCAGTCAAGAACTAAACCCATTTCGATGAGAAACAGATACAGGTCTCTCTTCATCAAAAGCAAAGAAATTTGTCAGTGCAGTGGGACGTGTACCTATTTGCTCTCAAAATCGACCGAGTTCTTGACCAAATCTAAGCCAAACAGAAGGTTGTTGCTTTGCTAATTTTATGTTTCTCTTCGGCGTGTTTCTCTTCTGTTCATGTTCAATACGATGCTACTTATTGAATCAAGGATTCTCGAAGCTTAATAAATAGCATTTATTATTGGCATGCATTTATTCTATTCTGTGGTTTTGAATAAAGCATAATAATTTTTTAACAGCAGTCATTTGATAAAAAAAAAAGTAACACTAAAATATATACACCCATAATTATGATTTATGAAGTATGTTCACCAAATTATAGGGAATGTTAGAAAAGTAGTTTTAATGGCTTGAGTATAGAGATTTTGGGGCAGATTTTCAAATATCGAAGAATTGCCCGCAGAAGACAGAGAAAAGTTTTGAAGTTATTATCAATATGCGGCTAATTTATTTGGCACATAAAGGAAAAGTACAGACATACATGTTAAAGCTAACAGGCATACATACCACGGACAGAAAAATCATTTTATTATTATAATCAAATGTCACAGTTAATATGTATAATTAATTTATTCATCTACCTTTTTAAATTGTAATGCTTTGAGTGCACACTCGTCTTTTAATGGATGAATACACCCACAAATGGACATCCAAAACTCTAAAACGAATGAGGTAAAAATCTAAAAATATGCCATTTTACGAATGATTGATATTTTATTGCAAATTATTGTTCAGTGATTTAAGAAAATATCATTTTTAATATGATTAAATTTGAACATAGGATTTACATTTTCGGTATGGCGGCTTTTTTAGACAATGGATCGAAAATTACAAAATATCAGAATTTTTCTTTGCGCAAAGCTCAGAAAATTTCTCAAAAGATGAAAAATGTCAAAAGTTACAATTCTTGCAACCTCATTCAGAGGAAGCGACAACTTCCCCGGCAGAGCGGGAAATTTTTATTACCCTGAGTTAAAATAAAAAAAGAATGGGGAAAAGAGAAGAAAAGAACCTACTGGCAGGGTTTCGAGAAGACCCCCCGCCGCATTCACATGGAGGTAAGAAAGGGAGGAGGGGCCATTCCGCGCTAGAAGTGAAGCACTGCTTTGAAACTTGGGTCACCAGACGGGGTGTTCTTTGTTTACATTCAGAAGCTCGCTTGACAAGATTCTGATAGTATTTCGACACACGACAGTTCCATAGAAATCGAAAAAGGGACACTCTCGCATGAAAGAAACATTCATAGTGTTATGGATAATAGCAATTTGTATAGTTTACTGACATTTACGCAAAAATCACAGCTTGGTTATTTTTCGATAACTAACAACAGCGATTTTGATTATGAATTTGTTTTATAAAATTCTAAGCTGTTGCACTACAAAAAGATAGATTTTAAGAAAATTGCTAAAAGAGATCTGCCAAAATTTATTTTCTAGAAGATTTGAAAAGTTTGAAACTGGATGGCTAAATGTAAATATAAAATTATGTATGTTAAAATATTTGTAATTAGGCACATAGGTCAGATTAAGTTTTTATTAAATAGAGTAACGCATGCAAGGGCTATCTGCCTAAAGAGAGAGATGCCATCGTGGGGGAATTTTGAAGAAAAACTGACCTTTGAGTGGGTATTAAAAATAATACTTATAATTTTCATTCAAATTATATTCATACTAGCTGTACCCGCCCGGCGTTGCCCGTGCATTTAGAAAATGCAGATAAGTGAATAGCGCAGGAATAGTAGTGTAGGACATGTAGACTGTCTCTCTCTCTTCCCCCCCCACACAACATTCCCCGTCGATAAAAAGGAACAATATATCCTAACCATGAGCCATCTGTTAAAAAATTAGTTTAAATGAGAACAGACCTCATATTAGCACATGCTAGGAAACCGTAGTCATGTGGTTATAATCATTGGTCTGAAGTATAAAGAAAAGTAAACATAAAAAATTCAAAATCAAAGATAGGAAAGAGTTTGAAAGGGAAAGATAGAGAGTACAGTACAGAAAAAATAAAAAGTAACGAAAACATGGATGAAATAAAACATCCTGCTTACAGGAAATTTGGAGTTAAGAACCAATTAATTTTTAATTTAAGTGTAAGTTAAATTTAGATGACAATGAATTAGAAGAGGAGAGTGTTTGTGTATGTTTGTGGAGCTCGGCTGGGGTCGCAAGGGCCCCTGACCGATTAATGTCTGTCTGTTGGTACGGCAGCACCATTCGGATTATTGCTCATGCTCTCAAGAGAGCACTAAACAATAACATCACTATTTAAAGCATGATAGTCAGAGTTAGTTTGGGAGAGTGGAGAGTGGCAATAATTTTTCGTTAGATTGTCCTTTTCGTTAGAGAGCCTCGGGATAAAACTATATTTAATGTTCTTCCATTCGGAGCTAAGATGTGTAAATTATCGGCATTACCAACTCTTGAACAACCCACGTACAGTTGACCATGGGAGAAACACGGCTTACGGAGGTCGAGCCCTACAACTTTGAGAGATTGTCCTTGTGCCTTATTAATGCTCATCGCGAAACTCAAACGAACAGGGAATTGTAGACGCTTAAACTGAAACTGGAGATCGGAAGGGATATAGGAATTCTTGAAATAAACACATCTTCGCCTGCAGCATGTCCGGTCATGATGGTGGCTTCTATAATATTTGGCATCAGTTTCTTGATAGAAAGTCTTGTTCCATTGCAAAGTGCAGGCGGATCCAGATTCCTGAGGAGAATTATCGGTGCTCCAACCTTCAAGTCCAATATGTGGGAGGGTACTCCAGGTGGCTCTAATTTGTTGAGAAACTCTGTCGTATAGTTGACAGCCTCGTCAATATTGCATGTCGTGTCTATAGATTTGTAAATATGAAGAGTTCCGGGTAAGTTCTGTAAAAGTTCCTTGTTGATAACACTGACGGCTTCGTTTGTTGGGGCAAGAATTGCTCTTTCGCACAGCCATGCGTGATCAGTGAAGTGGTGAATCACATTCGGAAACACAGCCTCTTTCAGTTCTTCTTCAGTAGTCACAATCCTTCCAATGCCTTGCATCGCTACATATCCATCTTCATTTTCTGAAGTAAGGGCTCCATTTCCTAGTTTCAGTAGATTATCTGCAAACTGCTGGGCAGAGGGATCACCGTTGAGATGAACTCGCATGTTAGTCGATAATCCAAGTGTTTGAATGCCATTCCAGATGTAAGAAGATTTTATGCAGGCCTGCATTTCATCTGCCCTCGTTCCACGCGGAATAACTGGTAGCGTCTGTCGAAAATCGCCTGCCAAAACCATTACGACGCCTCCCATTCTGTCATTGTTCCGTCTGAGGTCTTTCATGGTGACATCTAATGCTTCGAATGCGGCTTTGTGGGACATGGTACACTCGTCCCAAACGATGAGCTTGCAATCCTGTAGAACCTTTGCCTTTCCTGAATTCCTTGGGATGTTACACGTTGGAGTCTCTGTGCTTGTCAGATTTAAGGGTAACTTGAACGCCGAGTGAGCAGTCCTACCACCTGTCAAGAGTGTAGCAGCAATGCCGGATGAAGCGACAGCCAGAGCAATCTCATTTCTGTGCCGCACCTTTGCCAAAATAAGGTTGATAAGAAACGTCTTCCCGGTTCCGCCTGGAGCATCCAAAAAGAATATACCCCTTTGCCTATCAAAAACTGCTCTAGTAATCTTGTCAAAGGCTTCTTTTTGATCTTGGACCAATTTAGGCTCATTCTCCTGTATATAAGCTGCGAGCACATCCATGTTATAACTTCGTTCTCTAATTACTTCACTGGAAATGGCAGAATCGCTGTTTCTGTTAGGTTGGGGAAGTCCAAAGCTTTTCAGGTTCAATCTCCTAGAGATATTATCTTGTTCTCAATGTAGATTAGGGCTCTGTTAAAGATGTCGTCATTGTAGTCCAGGTCCATATTCTGCTGCTGGATCCTGGCTTGATGCAGTATGTCTTCAGACAGGTTCTCCCTGTGGTTCATCCATAACTGTTCAGGGCCCGACATGGAGCACGTTTGAAGCATTACAGCAAACAGATTACGCATCATCTTGGGTGATCGAGATGCAGCTGCTTCTTCTAACGCCGTGTTCCAGTGTTCGTCATTCTCCAGAAGTCCTTGAAGTTGGCAGGCCTCTTTGAAAGTGTTGCAGACTCTTCCTTGAACGGTTCTCAAATCCGTGAATGATGTTGGGCCTCTAACTTCATGTAGTAATAGGCGAAGGTGGAAGCATTCGGAGTTGTTGGGATGGACGGTGTAGACACGGCCAAGAGCATCAGTAGTAGACCGGATTCCTGTTTCTTCTGGAACAATTTGTCCTTGTTTACGGCGGTTCCAACTCTTGTTCCTGCTGTTCCATGTGTAGTACTTTGGAATTTGGTTGTAAAGTAAATTGCGAGCAAAGTTATCTTGGGTGCACAGCTTGAAGAAAGAGTGTGAGCGTTGTTTCCGGGGTGCCTGGACCCGTTCAGCAGCATTTTCTTCAGTGAAGTACACTCTCTGGCCATTTTCAAGGTGGACGCTTAGATGAACGACTGTGGGATGACGTTCGTGGATTGGAAAGTTGAGTATTCTCCACACTGCTTCATTGCTGCTAATGTATCTTCCCATCTCATATTGATGAATTTCATTCAGTTCATTGGCTCCACTGGTGACATCAAATACAGCCATGTCGGATCCTTTATTGACATACTTGCATACATACTTTATGGACTTGACAGAATTGCAGTACTCAACGTTGATATGTGCGTTAAAAATTTTGGATAGTAGTGGACAGTAAGGAACAATCCAGGCATTGTCCACCGAAACTTCTGATCCTCGTAGATTGATGCTTGCTTGCTGTAAAACCTCCATCTGCAGGGCTTCTACGACGATACAGTGGATATCCGTCTTGTCCCGTCTGCGTCTCTTTCAAGAACTGGCGAGAGTATCGCTCTCTTGTCGATTTTTATTTTCCAAACATTTCTTTTTTCGAGGTGGCTGCGGCATATTTCTTCTAAAATCTGAAAAGCAAAAGTTAAGCAACCAACAGAAGAATGATTACAAAAAACTGAAGAAAACGCTACAATAAAGAAATCAATTGTTATAATCGAACGTTATTTGAAAATAAATAATAGCAACACGATCAGTGAGTCAAAAAACCATGATAATATTAATTAAGAAACAAAAAGTTTATAAAGTGCAATTCTGAAAAAAAAAAAAGAAATTAATGTGTCATGAAAACAGCAAACTAAAGCTACAAAAAAGAAATGAATTGTAATTAATCGATTTAATGTATCGTCAAAACAGCAAACTAACGCTAGAATAAAGAAATCAATTGTTACAATCGAACGTTATTTGAAAACAAATAATAATATCAGTGAGTCAAAAAAAACCGTGATTAATTGAATTATAAATAATTTTTTAAAAATTTTTCTAATTCAAAAATCGAAAATCGGGCTTCGAGGTCTGGTGGCCAGCCCCTTTGTGCTTCCGTATAATATATATACGGTATAAAAAATTCCAGGTCCCTGCGTGCCATAGATTTGGCTGGAGAGCTCGGTCAGACAGACAGACAGACAGACTTACACTTGCTTTTATTATTATAGATATATTTTTTATGTAAAACTTTCGGGTGTATGCTAAATTAGTGTAAATTACTTTACACGAAAAATATAGTGAATGCACAGAAATTAAAGATTTGCACATGCCGGAAATGATAAATAGGAAATATGTATGGGTATTTATGCATGTGCTTGCAAAAAGCATGTATCTGCCTTTGACAAAAATACTTAAATATTCATTAAATTATTTATAAATGTATTTGAAATGAAGAATTTATTCACTTATAAACAACTGTGAAAGTACTGTGAAGAAATCTAATTATTAAATGTATCTAATTTATGATGATTATAAATGTTATCTAAATATATAATAACCTTAATATTGAATTGTAAACATAAATTGAAATCCTGTTGACAAATACGTTATAAGACTATTTAAGCAAGAATTGTTCGTATTGGAAAGCAATATGTTAAAAGGTATTGTAAAGCAAATGCTATGAGATGCGCACTTAAGAACGTAATAAAGAGTTTTGGAATATGTATTGTTGAAATGAAGGGTAAAAAAAAAAAAAAAAAAATCTGATAAGTATAATTAAAAGAATTATTCCCTTTACATTTTATAATAACTCAGTTACAAGTTTTAAATAATACTTAAAAAAAAAAAAAAAAAAAAAAAAAATTATTTTATTCCCTTTCAGAAATGTTCAGAGAAAGTCAAATACTATTTAATTCCTAATAATTCTCTAATTTAAAATGAACCAAATAGAGCATTAATTATAAATTGACTTACATTTTTCGATTTAAAAGAAGCCAAAAAATCATGTCATATTTAAGAAAGTATTTTAGGAAGAAGCTCTATAAATAGAAAGAAATAATGCATAATTTTAATATTAATAATACAATAAACTTTGATCTTAATTTTTGTACCTTAACCGAATAAAATCGAATTACCGTTAATTTTTTTTTCTAATGTAATTAACGAAAACTTGTGAAAATATTTCATTCAAATTAAACCATTCTGAGAAAACTGTCCTGTGAAAAGTATAGCATTTAATTCCGTTCAGAATGAAATGTTGTTTAAAAATATGTTGTTTTCACATACTTAGGACTCTGAAGTGTTGTAGAAAAGAAAATATATACATTTATATGTATATTTGCGACGTAATTACAAAATATTTACACCCAAACGCGTCAAATCCCATAGAACTCAATGGTAAATGACCCAATGTTTTGGTCACCGCGTACGGATCGCCGGTGCTTCAGAGCAGGGTACGGAGAAACTTGTTTAGGGCGACTCCTTCTTACTTCCTACCTCCATGCGCATTCAAGGATTCTGACCTCGCTGGTATTACAGAACAACACTAAAAGAGTATCGAAAGGAAAAATGCAGAGAAATCGTCTTTTTTTTTTCGAAAGATTTTCTAATACTGTATGACCAGTGGCGTAGCTAGGGTGGGGCAAGGGGGGGACATCTGTCCCCGGGCGCAGCATCCAGGGGGCGCCCAAATTAATGCTACGAAATTTTCTAAGAAAATGTTTTCCATTCTTGGCGCACAGAAAGGGGCGCAAATTCTTCAAGTTGACCCCGGGCGCTGGAAACTCTAGCTACGCCCCTGTGTATGACAGGAAACACTTACGTTATTCTTTAAATTCTTTCAAAAATTAATTTAACGAATAATGCGTAACAATTTAAAGAACAATGTAATATTATTCTTTTCCTTCTTTTATTCTGTAAATGTAAACAACATGGATAAATAAAATAAGTCATTTTATGAAGCTTCTGAAAAATCAGGTAACTTCATCAAGTTTGAAATTCTAAATACCATCACCGACAAAATAATTCAAGCTTATGGGTGTTATTCAAGCTTATGGATTCCAAAATCACTACTATGCGCTTTTTAATTGCAGTTCCGCACCCATATCATTAGATATCGCTTTGAAGTCACTAATGAAGAAAGTGATTGCAAAAGTCTTTTAATCTTGCAATCAAATCCGTGAATTCCATTATATAAGCAAGTCATTCATCTTTGATGTTTGTTAGAGAATGTGTGCAGTGACTGCAGGCATCCTGAAGTGAGTTCTAATTTGTTCATTATTTCTGTGTATGAAAGATAAATCATATTTCTTTTCCTTAATACGTTGATCTCAGTAAACACTGGGTTTTTATTTTCATAGAAGGAAAAAAATTCTTTAGAATAATTTTATTTTCAAATGCACAAAATAAAAAACTGTAATTCCAAAATCGATTACAACCAAAGGACATAATAATTCAGTAGTTTATTTTACTTTACTACGGGAATAAGCATAACAACGGAACAACATTTATCACAATGGAGATGCTTCCAATGTCAGTATTAAAAATGTGAAAAACACTTCGAACACTGTCAAAATTTCCACAGATAAAGAAAGTTTTGTTGCTTTTAATTATTTCCCTTCCTTTCATTTGAAGAGTTCAAAATTTGACTACCCATTCCATCATCAAATAGAAACAGTAAATTATAATACCTTTTTTGCAATTCATTTAGAAGAATTCAACCTTCCTACGAATAAAAACTTCTTCGATGCTTTCCTCAGAATAGTATAGCACAGTTTGGACACTATGCTAGTTAGATTAGGTTAATTTAATCCGGTATATTTTCTCTTCCTTTCCTCATGCCTTCGTGGTGTAACTGGAAGCATTCGCATATTCGAGAGGTCCAACGTTTGAAACCCGGCAAGGGCAATAAATATTTTTCAGTTCTCCAGCATGAATAACTCTAAAAAGACTGAAAGTAACTCAAAGACTTTTTAAAGAGAAAATGTCTCGTGTTTACGTTACACAAGCGGAAACCATTGAAACTACCATGCAGCCCACCCGTTCATTTGAATCCAGGTCAAACTACTAGTGTCACCGGTATTACCGCTCGGTCGATACTATGAAACTGGAGGAAATTTTACAGCATATCAATGTCCCAATTGCATTTTCCTACTTCTTTACAATGAATCTTGTTTTTGTTATAAATATATATTTTTTAATTAAAGATTTATCTGTATCATTTTGACATGAATGATAACTTCAAATTTCCATTTTTTTCATTTAAATCCAATGGATTACAATTTTCTTATCAAAAATTCAGTTCCTGTAACACTTACAAGGCACTAGTAATACGTTTCTTTTAGTCTGAATAATTTCTGACACAGCCATAAGCACTGTCATTAAGTTTAGCTGGCGCTAGGCATTTTGTTGACCGGCGTAACTTCTGAAGTTTTTAAATTTTGTTGTCCCGTGCATTACTAAATTTTAAAACATTTTCCGCTTCTAAATGTCTCTGCCTTATGTATTAACTAAATTATTTTTTTTTTATCCCTAAATTTTATTGCTCAGTGTTTTCCTAAAATCTAAACATTTTCCAGCCTTTTAATTCTGGCGCTCAGTGCAGCCGCTCCTGCTGTGACGTGAGCTCTGATTTCAACGAGTATCAGCTTAAAGCTTACGATTATTAAAAATTCTTGTAACACGTTTGTTATTCTAGTATGTTCGATAGTAAAGATATTTCTATGTTTATAACTTTAATATCAATTTTATGCTGTTAAAAGTCTGTCATTAAAACATTTATTGCATATATAACTTTCAATACAATACTGATATGCTTCAGTTAATACAAATTTCCATTAAATGTTAAGGTGCATTAAGTCATTAAAATTCTGAAATTTATTTTGATGATTCTGTTCAATTTGCTGTGTTGCAGATATTCTATTCTAAAATTAAAAAAAAAAAAAAAAAAAAAAAAAAAAAAAAAAAAAAAAAAACTTTGAATAAGTACTTGGATTTATATATTGGCTTCAAACTGCCAAACCAGATTTAAGTGAAGAGCGGCTAAAGTCTTATTGATCAATTATTTTTATTCTCCATATTAGATATTGTATAGACATAAATTCCATTTTTATTTTCAATACATGTTGAAAGTATTTCCGCTTTCTTGTCTAATTCGCTAGCGGTATTAAAAATACGAACAAAACATAGATAGATTTTTGGCGATACAGCAGTGATGTGCAGCAACCCCAAAATAACAAGCGAAATTTTAGAAAAGCGAAATTCTCCTCAGCACGGGGCCTATTAGTGCAGTCGCCCCTGTCGAAATTGTTGAGGGAAAGAAAACCTAACGCGAGCGTATATATCAGGGGTGGCCACCCTGCGGCTCAACCAGACACATGCGGCTCTTTGAAGGATTATTTTTGGCTCTCGATATGTGTACCCCAGTTTCCTTTTCATTTTTGTGTTATTATATTATAAAAAATTATTATCGTTCCGTATGTGTTTCAAAATGTCTTTTAAATTGCAGACAACAAATATGAAAGACTATGTGCAACGTTGTAACAAATTTCATTTCCGTCTATCGTCTCTTGATTTTTAGGGAGCAATTAACCTGTTGAAAGACCGCTCAAAAAAGGCTCTCTTAGCACTTTTTATAGTTGTATCTTTCAAAATTTCGGTTTTAGAATACCCCAAATTTACTGAACTTTCATCGGTGTAATAAATTGTCCTACCCTGTGAATGATATTTTTTTTATCTCTTAGATATCTGTGCCTTCAATATTGAATATCGTCACGTTCAATCAAGTTTGACTGGCGTTTTCGTTTTCTATGTGCAAATCCTAAATCATTCATCATTCGTCCTACTGTGCAAGTAGACATATTTGGCAAACCAGCTTCATCATTTGTAACTTTTGTCCCTTTTTGCACAGTTGGAATTTCATTCCATAAAAAGAAACAGTGAACTTTCCTTCGTATTGTTTCTGAAGTTAATCCATCATATCGTTTGGTTCGGGTTTGCGTTCCGATTTTTAGAGCTCGTTTTTCACCTCGAGTCTAAAATCCGCCATTTTCTTTCAATTCAGATGTCATGCGATTTATGCGTGTTCTACGGCGGACGCATACACTTTCTGCTATATTCAATGTTCTCAACTTTGGTTGACCTGTAGTATAGCATTTGTCTTCTAACGCCTGATCCGCCACCGCACACCGAACGGGACTGCAACTGTAACTCAAAGTGATTTCGCTCGTTGCTAAGAGAAGCGCATACGCATCGCAGCGATGAAAACTGACCTTTACGTTACCAGTGTATCGCAGACTCTAGAGACTAATAAACATATTCTAAAATATCATTTAGGTCTGCAAATGTGTTTGGAGTTAGCATATCTCTTGTAAACAACAGATATTTTTAATAAGCCTACTAAACACACGTATTTTTAGTTCATTCTAAAACTTATTTTTGTTGTCACTTCCAATAAATAAAACTATAGTTTTTAACGGAGTAAAAGTAAATGGAAGTACGCGTAAAATAAAAACTATACGTCATCTCAAGTTCGACATTCTCCCAAGTAACAACTTAATTTACTGAAAATTTTTAAGAACTTCTGAAAATGAGATCAAACAATTTTAAATTAAAAGAAAAAGCTAAAAGTACCAAATTAAAGTTCAAATCTTCCTGCAGTCTACAAGTCCGATCTTTGGATAGGCCTGACTTCTCTTGCTGATTTTACATATTTTATATACTCACAGAGGTTGAATAGTGTAATTACCAGAGTACTCGAGCACGGACCCAAATGTTGTCGAAACTGATTGTAATATTTATAATTATTCATAGATCCAATTGCTTTAAGAATAAAATACCCAAATTTAAAAATTTGTCTACTAGCATCGTAAGAGTTCAAATGTTCGAGAGATGTACACAGGTTCAGTTTTAAAAGTCCACATGCATGGGAAGTTCTTAAAGAAGAAATAACATAACTCTTTAAAAAATGAGTATATAAGCTAAACTGATCAGAATAGGAAACAAACAAACAAAAAAAAAAAAAATGCATAAATATAGAAAGATAAACATCGAAAAGTTATATAAATAATATTACATCTTTATTAGGTTATTAAGAAGGGACGTAGGTCTCATTACATTTTCTAAAGACTAATAATCATATCTTGGATAATGCCATTTTCCGTAGTCTTAAATGAAAATTCTGTGCCATAAAATGATAATCGGTGCTTAGCTGTGTAATTAGCCACTTACCCACACTTTTTCCCAAAATGCAATTCTGAGTCATTTGTAACTGTTTGCGTTTGATGCAGCAGGCTTGTCCTCAAACTGGGCTGGCGAAACAAAGCAAGGAATGCAATAGGATTTTGTATATGATTAACTTTTGTCAATAGATAAAGAGCTGTTCCAGGAAATTAAGGGATAAAGTTTAGTTCTACGTGTCCAGAGCTTCTGGATAATACAGCGAATGTATGGGAACCATGAAAGATTACCGTCGAGAATCCTCCCGAGAGTGATTCGCCTAGTCCGTGGCAATATGGTTTCTTAAATACTAATATTGCCTGTAATTTTTTCTATCTTAGTGAAGATAATTGTTGTGGATTTATCCACATTTATCTCAGTTTTCCAGCTGATAAGCCGGGTTTCTAGGATGTGATTTCGTAATACTTGCGATACTGGAAGAAGAAAAGTATCCTCTGAGAAGACCACTATATCATCAGAATAATATGCTACAGGGATACAGGGATGCTGGGTGTCTGTAGAATATTATTCACGTGTAAGTTGAATAGTGTAGGCCAGGGGTCGGCAACTTTCTGAGTCGGAAGAGTCAAAAATTACAATTTACAAAATTTTAAAGTTTTTAAAGAGCCACCAAATGTTTTCTTGCTAGCAATAATTAGTACTCGCATAAATAAAGTTTTTTGATAAACAAAAACTAATCTATTTATTCATAAGAAAAATTATCTATTTATTCATAAGAAAAAAATATATTTATTCATATAAATGTGTTTTTCATAACAAATTAGATAATATATATATATATGGCATTATTAGATAATTACTTATTATTTAAGTAAAAAAAATTTAAAAATTAAACATTTACTTACAATACTAACTTGTACTTCAATAAAAAAACAATTGAGCAAACAAATTCAATGGGGAGCGATGGCTTTGCATACAATAACGTATATTTGAGCAAACAAATTCAAAGGGAGCGTTGGCTTTGCATGTTTTCAGAAAGTTTGGATAAATTTGGCTCATAACTGGTTGTTTTAAGTTTCAAACCCGACTCTAAATTTTTATTTGTTAGTTGGCTTCTTACTGTACTTTTAATTATATTCATGCAAGAGACCGCTTGTTCGCACGAATATGTCGATCTGAAGATAGTCAGCACTCGAAATGCCAACTTCTTCACCTCACTATAGCAATCTGCAAACTATTCCATGAGTCGAATATAAGAGCCTCAACTCGAAGCATTACTTTTAAAGCTGTCCTAATAGGATGAAAATCTCTTTAAGACCATCAGAGTAACCTAGAAATGCAGGTGATCGTTTTAGAGAGGGTTTTTACTAAATATGCTTATTTATTTGATTTAAAAAACTTTTGTCGGAAATAATAACAGTAATCATATACACCACTCTCTCTCAGGCGACCAGCAGCAAATAAAAAATGCATCTTTGCAAGTGGTCGCTTTATAGAGGTGTTGCTCAATATCTATATATATTCAAGTTCTCAGAAGTACGTTGATCTTTTAGAAGTGGTCGTCTTAGGGAGGTTGCCTCTACGAAAAGAATCTCTCTAAGGCGACCAGCCACACTTGCAGATTTTTCTTTGTGAATGGTCGTCTCAGGGGATGTTCAATACCAAAATATACTTATGTTTTCAGAAATACTGGTTTCTTTAAGAGGTTCAGAAATACTGGTCATCTTAGAGAGGTGATTTTTGCCACGAGTTTATTCTCTGACGACACACACATACGCACTTACATTTCTGATATTACAAGTAAACACCCTTATCTCTTTAACAAGACCATGTTCATTTAAAATCGCAAAACTATTTTTCTCCGTGTTGAAGAGAACGGGAGAGAAAAAAATTCCCCTCCCTCCCCCGCTACCTCCATGAGAAGAAATTTCTCAAACAAGCAATATGCCGCCGTTCTGCTAATGTTGTTATGCGATGTTTGTGTTATGATCGGGGTGTAGGCTGTAGTAATGCAATAAATAATTTACTATATTAGAAATTTTACTATGCTTTACTGTATAGATATTAATAGTAAAGGCTCTAGTGTAGAATTGGGTGCCCCTTCGATTAGCGATAACCTTTTTTTTTTTTTTTTTAAATTTTGGCGATGAAACCTCATTTTTGGTTACCATTATAGTTTTAACTTTGTTTTAGTTTCTTGATTTTTTTTTTTAAATGAAAATAGATTGATGTGTACATGGACAAATTTAAGGCAGTGTGCAATGCCTAGTTTGTGCAATTCTAGGATGTTTTTTAAGTGAAAACAGATCGATGTGTACACGGTCACAGAGTTTGTGCAATTCTTTGACTTTTTATTTTAGTTTTGTGTAGCGGCCATCTTGAAATTGTGCCTTCCTGGCGCCGATCTTGGCGTGTAATCGTGTCTTAACGTTTTAGAGAACTTTGCTGATAGCTGACTAGTTCTGAAATGCAGTTTCTGTGCGTGAAATCGATTTTCCATCTTTACTTTTATCCTAAAAAGCAATGTGCTTAAAGACTGAAAAGTGATAATTTCAGATTTGATAATTTGGTTCAGTGTATTTAGATCAGCTGCACAAATATAGTTTTTGCATTCTACTGAAACTGTATTAAACTTACCGTTTAGAAATACTTTTTAAAGCTTGTTCATGTAGATGCTGTATAAATTGACTATTATGTACTAATAAATTTGAGCATACCTTACTTAAAAATTATCTTGCATGATTCAATTTTCAATTTTTCGACTAATGTGATGTGGCCGAGCAAAAAGAATGTTTTTTTTTATGTCTTAAAAATGTATTAATGATATTTCGCGAGCGAAAAAGGTAAGTTTTATTAATGAAGTAAACATTGAAATATTTAATGTGTTTATTACTTATTGAATGAGGTAGACAAGACATACAAGCTTAAAGAACCGTTTTTCCATTACTAAAATTATGTGGAAATTTAGATGATTATAGTAGCTTACATTGTTTTTTCTTTTTGGTCAATTTTTCTTTACAAGTATGAGACTAGAACCACATTTTTACATTAAATATTTTGTGCTATTTTGTTAAAACACATACAGTTATTTTTATGCATACTTTAATTTTCATTATTATTAGTTTGATGAAGAAAATTTCAAATGGTTTTTGTCATAAATTGCTTTTGAAATAGAAATAGATTTGTGAATAATTAATAGAGTTTATATAATATTACTCTTTTGGGATTATAAAAAGTGAATTATTTATTTGAAAAAATTACATTAAGTGAAACCTCATATAGTGGTTATTTTCTTAAATGACCGCGTCTGACAGTGACACATTTGTCAGGAACATAATTAAATAACAATACTTAAAATCACTCATAGTTTTGTCAGGCTACAGGAAACTAACATTATCAGGAATTGTGGAGTTGATTGATTTAGGAAAGTTTCACTGTATAATCAGTTGATTTAGGTGTAGTAATTTTTACGTGGGTATGAATTTTGCAGAAATAATTGAAAGTTTTTACAAGACAATGAGTCTTGTAAGGGTACTGTTTTAGCATTGCTTTCAAATATAGTTAGAATAATATTTAAACATTATTTTCTTTCATTAGTTATACTGCAGAAATGGTAGTTACAATTTTCTGAACTAAATTTATTGGTTTGTATAGATATTAATGTAAATAAAACTGTTTGTAAACAAATATAACTATGTGTCCTATATCCGTTTAGTTGCAATGACAGTAATTTTAACCGCGTTTGTGCGTAGTTTCATTAAATTAGTTATTTAATAAACAGGTACTTATAATTACGTGTCTATGAGTATATTCATACTTATTCACAGAGATGGAATTTTTACAGCACGAAAGTTAATTAATCTTTTTTACAACAAGAACTACATATAGTATAAATACTTATTATGTTATAGATTTTATTTATGTAAAATCTGTGGAAGATTATATAGCACTAACAGTGGGATGCGGAATAAAATATTATAGGCTATGAGATATTTCCTTAATTCCCGAACTGTGGGTTGAGAATCGGTATTTGTTGAGACTTGTAAATTTTTTAAAGTTCGTTTTGTTACAATAAAATGTATTGTATTTTGGGTATTATTAAGTTTATTATATTTTATATTCGTGTTTCATTTATCTTCTGAGAGATACAGGTAACATTCAAAGTATTGTAAAGAGGTGGTCGACACAGTGTTTATATATTATTATTTCTTCACTACATTATATTCTAGGATTCATCCTTTCTTCCACACAAAACATCTATGTATATACGTGTCACAATAAGCTTCAGGGTGTTGCTATCAGTGGTAAGCGAGCTTTAAAGGGATAGCAAGTATGCTGAATTTGAACTCTATGTTAAGTTTCTAATTTGCAAGTTCCTTATTCTTTTTGCTTACTTGTTAGTAGTGTTTCTCTTCCTGAAAATTAGGGTTTCATCTAGTTTTGTTTTTAAATTTGGTTTAGTGCATTGTAGGTAACTTAAAATTTAAGCAGATGCTAGAAAGTATCATCCCTTGGCAATAAATACATTTCTCATTAGGTATCAAAATGTTAAACAAGTTGATGTGATTAAATGCTATTGTTTAATTTTCCAATTAAAGAACTGAAATACAAATATATAAAGTGAGATACAATACTATATGTATATATTTATAATCAAATCAATAATATATATACAATCAATGTCATGATTCGCAACCATCAAATGATATGTATATGTTACCGTGAAAGACCGAAATTGGAGAATGTCGACTTTCACCGGAGAATATCAACATTCACCAAATACGTCGGTGAAAAACCGAATATTTCACTACATTCTTGTATATTCGGACTCTCACTGGTGTATGTCGACAATCACAGATATGCTCTGGTGAAAGTCGAAAAGAGAGGTCATAAAGTGCCATAATAGTTTAAGTTGTTGCAATAAATAAGATTTGAATCACATAATTTAGTAAGTTTTTTTATTACTGTTATTTTGTTTTCTCATTTAGAGCGTACTGTATAATTAAGTAAGTTTTTAACTTCTATTATTTTCCTTTCTCATTTTGAAGAATGTATTGTGTGTTTTAGGTTCTCATGTTCTTAAGTTCTTATTTCAAGTCTCAAGTGCGTTTATTCACGACTGAATTACGGAGAAGAAAATATAATACTGTTATATGTTCAACATTCACCATTAGTACATGGTGACTGTCGACATTGACCGGTGTAAGTCAGAAACAAGAGTATTTGGAAAATATTTCGGACATACACCAAGAGACTATGTGAACGTTGACATTCACCGGTGAAAGTCGGCATTCTCCAGATTTCAGTGTTTCACCGTAACATATATATGTAATAGATTCTGTAGTCGAATACAGGCGGTTGAATCCGTAATGAACAGCAAGAATTTTGATGGCCTAGAGATGTTGAAACTCCAATCCACAATGAATAAGAAATTTGGCAGTCGAGGTAGATATAATTCAACATTTCTTTCAGCAAATATGTTGCAGCCACAAACAAGTTTACACATTATTTATGTCTGTTCCAAAAGTTTACATTTTTGATAAATCTGTAGTAAGAAAGAAGGAGCAGACAGACTGCAGTCCAGCTAGGCCAAAGCGTAAAAAACAAATGCGTTATGTTAAGGGTGATATCTTAATTAAGACTGAGTTAATTTTGGTTTTCGATGCATTTTTATTTGGTAATTAATACTGCTGTAAAATTTCTATTGGCTGTTTGAGTTTTAGTTCCATTTATAACATCAAATTATGTAAGAGTCATATGACATGGATTAATCTCGAAATTATGCAGTGCAGAGAGATTACTATTTTTAGAATAGTGAAGGAAAATTAATTTTACGCTGCTAATTTAATCCTTTACATATATATATATGTACATATATCATTCAGTGGTTGTGAATAATGAATTTGATTATTATCTTTCTATTAATTTTATTTTCAAAATTAATAAAGGGAGTTTAAAATTTTGTAAAGAGAGTTTATAAAAATATTTTGTAATATGCTTATAGATATTGACATGTATTGAGAAAGACAGAAGTTTGTAGGCTTCTAGATATTTAAAAAATTTTATTACGTTTATTCGCATTGAATTTTATTTAAAATTACATTCTTTCTACGCCATTTAGTTCTGTACATTTCGTCGGTGCTAATTATGTACTTCTGCTGGTTTATGTTTTATGCTGGTTATACTAGTTTTTATGAAAATTTGATCTACAATTCTATTTTTGTATATTGTTTTTTTATAGGGATTCTGTATATGGATACACGTTCTATATACGATTCTATGTATGGATACTCCGCTATGGTATAATTCTATTTATTTTGTTTATGAGCTTTTGTCTACTGTTTTGTGCAGCGATTTTTCCTTTATTGGTCCGTGGATTTTTGTGTACTGGTTTTTACAGGGATTTGGCTTATGGTTACCTATATAGGTGTACGTGTTTTTGTCTACTGGTTTTTACGGGGCATAGACTTACGGAATATCCATTCTTTTAATGGAGATATGGCCTATGGATATGCATAAAGTTCTGATTTCTGGCTATGGGTTTTTACTGGGATTTCGTTTATGGTGCCTACAGTTCTACAGGCTTCTACAGAGATCTGGCCTACTCGTATCCGTACAGGTTTCTGTTAATAGGTTTTTATGGGTATTTGGCCTATGGATTCCCGTACTTATGTGTTTACGGGGATTTGGCCTACGGGTACCCGTACAGTTGTACGTGTTTCTGTCTATGGATTTTTACAGGGATTCGGCCTACGGGTACCCGCAGAGCTGTGCGGGTACCCTATTCCCCCTAAAAAATTTTATGGGTTTCTACGGGGCATTTTTAGCAGGGTTTTTGAGTTTTGAAAAGGAGCGGTGGATGATTGTCCGGCAAGGGTGAAAGGGACGCATGAGGCAAAAAATTATTGAGATTCACCAGAAAACCAGCCCTGCACACAAAGCAGTCCAATAAGAATTTCCATAATTTTGGAAAGACATCTGAAGTATATCTAACGTATAGTTTGATCTAACGTATAGTTAAAAATACTGAAGTATATATTAGGTCAAGGTAATAGAGTTTATTCGTATCTACAGATCGCAGTTTTTGAAAATAGCTACATCATTAGCTTAGATCGTACCGACAGAAATAACTTCATAGATGAAATGCTCTTTATGACAGTATTATTTAACTTCATAAAATAGTAGTAACGATTTTATGAAGTTAAATGGGATAATCAACTTTTCTGCTCGCTAAATTTAACAATAGTAATAATAATTTATGTGGTTTAATGAGCCACCTTTCTGCCTTGACACCCTGAATCCATGAATATCATTATTTTCAACAACTTGCCAGATGAAGATCAATATCAGAACTATTCAAAGCATTGGAAATCCAAGTCTTTTAAAACATTTTCGGACTTTTAACAGTAAAATCAATTTCTAATTGTGTTTGATCTATCTTTCCATAGCAAAGCTAATGAAGTTTACATTTAGGCATTACATTAAGGTTACCTGCATTAAATTTTGAGGAATGACAACCGCATCGGAATATGCTTCTAGGGAATTTTCTTCATTTCTGCACTTAAATAGTGTTATCTAATGTAATAGCCATACGCAATATATTCGTATATTACTTTCCCTCCAAGTTACCTCATGAAAATAAGCAAGAAATACGGTAAATCTCTTCTATACATTATGTAGATATCAACTTTCATAAAGCTTATAAATAAAAAAGTTATAAAGTCACCAAAAATGTCTCTAGGGTGCTTTATTTAAAGAAAGTGATACAAAGTTGAATGCTTTCATTCAACTACCATAGTCTTTTCAGTGGCTGGCGATGTTTAATTTTCAGCACAAGGCTCTG